CACATTGTTTTACGATTGGGCTTTGACGTTTTTTTTTCTGCCTTTTGGCATCCCGATGCTCCAAGACGGCCCAAGAGGCTTCCAATACCGCTCCCATATAGAGGAAGAGGCCTCCAAGAGGGCCCCAAGACGGCCCGCGAGGGCCCCAAGACGGTGCTTGAGGCGCCCAAGACGGCCCGAGAGGGCCCCAAGAGCCCCAAGAGAGGCCCAAGAAGGGGAACGCGACCCAACAGCAGAGCGGTCCCCCCACAAGGCCCACAGGAGGCCGCAAGAGGCCCCCAAGTGGTCCGACGAGGACCCCAAAAGCTTCCCCGAGGGCCCAAAAGGCCCCTGGAGACGTCCAAGAGGTTTTAAAATAGCCCAAGAGTGCCCCAAATGCATCAAAACTGCTTCCAGGAGGCCCCTGGGAGGCTTCCGGATTGCCTCAATCTGGCCGCAGGTGGCCTCAAGTCGGGCCTCCACGCAGCCAAGACGGCCAATGACGGCTTCAGATTGCAGAACCGATGCCCCCAAGGGACCCTCAGACGCCCCCCCAAGAAGCACCCAAGAGGTGCCTCCAACAGCCAGTTGACGAAGCATGCGGAACACCCCAGAAGATCCTCAGATGCCGTCGCGCGCCTGTGCTTGATAGCGTTGTCCAAGATCGTCCAGCGCCCCCCCGGCCTGGGCTAGAACCTGAGCGCGCGCGAAGCGCGCGCGATGGTTCTAACCCAGGGGCCCGAAAACAGCTGCCCGACCCTGGGGCTCATTTTCGCTGTGTTTTCACGGGGTTTCGGCGTCCCGGGCCTCGGAGGCCGCCGCGATGGTCCTGGACATTTTCCAGATCCTCGGCGCGGGCTCCAAGACCATTCCGCAGAGGGCTCCAACAGGCTCCAGGGCAGCCCAAGAGGGCTCCAAGACGGCTCCAGGAACGACTGCAGGGTCTCATTTTTCTTTTGTTTTCTGCAAGACGGCTCCAGGAAGACTGCATGTCTTCTGAGGATGGCTTCCGCCTCTTGCCCCGAGCATCCCAAACTGCCTGAACGGTTCCCACTCGCCTTCCTCAAACCCAGCGCTTGCCCAAGCGCGTTCCGGACGGTCTTCGCCGGAACGCGCTGGAATGATCACGCGCTGCGGTTTCCCATGCCAACGTCCTCGGACGTGGGCGCCCTGCCACGAGCGCGTTCCGGGAAGATGCTCCTGGAACGCGCTGAAAAGATATGGCCACATCTCGGGGACGCTCCCGGCACTGCTGCCCCAGCCTTTCTGGGCAGCCTCCACAGCGCTCCAGGAGGGCCCAAGACGCCCCCTAGGAGCCCCCAGAATGCGAAAGGATGGCCCAAGACGCTCCCGAGCAGCCCAAGTCAGCCTTCCGACGGCTCTCGAGGCTCCCAGGTGGCCTCCAAGAGACCCCAAGAAGTCTGATAGGTATCGCGGTACGGCCCGGAGAGGCCAAAGCCGTATATGTTCAATGTTCTTTTTAATGTTTTTAGCTTCTCGCGTTTTCGAGCTCCCATCGGTCCAAGAGCGCCGAAAAGCCTCCATGGGGGTACTGGGGCTCATTTTCCCTGTGTTTTCAAAAGGGTTTCCGCGTCCTGGGCCTCGGAGGGCGCCGCCTCCGACCCCCCATGGGAGGAGGGGCGGCTGGGGAGGTCCAAAATAGTCCAGGAGGGCCTCCAGAGGCTCCCAAGACGGCCCAAGCGGGCCCCGAGTCGCCGAAAGACCGCTCCAGGACGCCCAAGATGGGCCCAAGACGGCCCGAGAGGCCCCCCAAGGCACTCCACGACGCTTCAAGACGCCTCTCCAGAGCGCTTCCAGAGGCCGAAATCGTCAAGTTTACAAGGTTTTCGAACGATTTTGGCCTTCCAGCCTTTTCGGCTGTCCGACGTTCCACGACGGCTCAATAGGCCCCCAAGAGCGCCCCAAGACGGCCCAAGAGGGCCCCAAGACGGCCCCAGAGTCGCCCAAGACAGCCCAACAGAGCCCCAAGACGGCCCCAAGATGCGCCCAAGAGGGGGACCACGACTCCAAAATTCGACCCTCCCGCTTGAAGAGTGCCCCAGGAGGCCCCAAGAGGCCCCAGGAGGCCCCCAAGAGGCACCCAGGAGGCCCAAACGAGGCCTAAAGAGGCCACAAAGCAGCCCGAGGAGGCCCCACAACGGTCCCAAAACGGCTACCGAGAAGCTGCGAAACTGCCTTCGCCAACCACAAGATCCAAACCAACACCCATGAGGCCTCTGACCCACCACCCAGGGCACGGTGGCGGGAGCAGTGACAGCACTTGTGCACAGCATGTTCCGGCGGGAGCCTTCCGGAACACGCTGCAGGATGAGGAAGATCAGGAGGAGAGAGAGAGCTGGAGTGGGAGGAGGAGGAGGAGGGGGACGAGGAGGAGGAAGAGGCCTCCCAGACAGCTCCAAGATAGCCGAAGAGGTTTCCAAGAGGGCCCTGGGCGGCCCACGAGGGCCCCAAGGCGGTGCCTGAGGCGCCCAAGACGGCCCGAGAGGGCCCCAAGACGGCCCCAAGAGAGGCCCAAGAAGGGAAACATGAACCGAGAATCCGAGCTTTCTACCCCGAGAGGTTCTCGGGAAATCCCAGGAGGCCCCCAATCGGATCCAAGAGGCCCCCAAGAAGCTCCCAAGAGGGCCGACGAGGCTCCAAGAGATCTCCCAAGGTGGCCCCAAGAGGCCCAACTCATTGTTTTACGATTGGGCTTTGACGGTTTTTTGGGGCCTTTTGGCATCCCGATGCTCCAAGACGGCCCCAAAGGCTTCCAATACCGCTCCCACATAGAGGAAGAGGCCTCCAAGAGGGCCCCAAGACGGCCCGCGAGGGCCCCCAGACGGTGCTTGAGGCGCCCAAGACGGCCCGAGAGGGCCCCAAGAGCCCCAAAAGAGGCCCGAGAAGGGGAACGCGACCCAACAGCAGAGCGGTCCCCCCACAAGGCCCACAGGAGGCTGCAAGAGGCCCCAAAATGGTCCGACGAGGACCCCAAAAGCTCCCCGAGGGCCGAAAAGGCCCCTGGGACACGTCCAAGAGGTTTTAAAATAGCCCAAGAGTGCCCCAAATGCATCAAAACTGCTTCCAGGAGGCCCCCGGGAGGCTTCCGGATTGCCTCAATCTGGCCGCAGGTGGCCTCAAGTCGGGCCTCCACGCAGCCAAGACGGCCAATGACGGCTTCAGATTGCAGAACCGATGCCCCCAAGGGACCCTCAGACGCCCCCCCAAGAGGCACCCAAGAGGTGCCTCCAACAGCCAGTTGACGAAGCATGCGGAACACCCCAGAAGCTCCTCAGATGCCGTCGCGCGCCTGTGCTTGATAGCGTTGTCCAAGATCGTCCAGCGCCCCCCCGGCCTGGGCTAGAACCTGAGCGCGCGCGAAGCGCGCGCGATGGTTCTAGTCTATATATATATATATATATATATATATATATACAAGACTGCAGTGGCGCTTCGCGCCATGCACCTTGGTCCTTGAAGTTTGGTATGCAGGCGGAAATGGCAGGAAGGTCAAGCCGACAATTTAGCGATAACTCCTTGCTGCTTTTTCTGGCATCGCCGTTATAATAATGTTGTTCATTATCCTTCCTCCATGTTTCCTCATTCTCGCCATACCCTGGGCATTCTCCCCATCCTCCTCAGCTCTTTTTGCTGAGGCTCCTCCTTGGAGAGCCTCTGGGGGCCTCACCAAAGTTCCCAGGCTTTCTTAAAGCCTTCTGGAGGCCTCCTGGGCGTGCTCTGCGGGCCTCTGGGACTTCCTAAGGCCAACCTACCTCTAACCGCGGTCTCCCTGAACGCCCCGGTCACGATTTGGAATGCTTCGGAGGGCGTCTTGGGGCCATCTTGGGCCGCCATGGTGCTCTCTTAGAGCCATTTTGGACCCCTGTTGTGCCGTTTTGGGGCTCTCTTGGACTGCCTGGAAACCCTTTCAGATGGTTGCGGGGCGATTTTGGAGCCTCCCAGGCGGCTTCGGACGCCCAGGAGACCTCTTGGGGCCTTCTTGGGGGTGCTCTTGGAGGCCTCTTGGTACGTTTTGGAGCGATCTTTCGGGGTATGACGGCTTCTTGGAGCGCTCTTGTGCTGTCTTGGGGTCTCTGGGACGTCTCCGGTGACCCCCCTGATCGCCCTGGGTGTGCTGCGAAGGCTTGGCAAAACGCCCTGCGAGGCCAGGAGGGCCGCTTCGAGGCCCGTTCGGAGGGTCCCAAAGCTCCAGATCCCGGAGGTTCGGTTTTAGGGGGGGGGGGGGGGAGTCCCCCGCCCGGGCTTATAAAAATATAGGAAGAGGAATACAGACACACCAAAAAAAACACCAATCCGCTGCGTGAAAGACATTTTGCGGAGGGGAGCGGGCGACTCTCAGGACGTCTCCAGGGGAGAGAGACTAGTATTTCTCAGTTTGCGTAGTTGTGGAGGGAGGAGGAGAGTGGGAAGAGGGAGGGAGAAGAGAGAGGAGGGAGGAAAGAGGACGAGGAAGAGGAGGAGGAGGAGGAGGAGGAGGAAGAAACTGGGTGAGCTGGCAGACTGGCGGATCCCCAGCTGGTGCGGACCTGGCCCGGACCAGGGCCTCCTCTCGCTCCCAGGCGTCCAACTTCATTAGGGGATGGTCGAGCTTCGAGGGTCAGGGCTCGACTGCTTGTCTCGCTTTTCCGAAGCTCCCAGGAGCCTTCTCGTCGCCACGGTCGGATTCCCTTCGAAATGTTGGCAGCGCGCCCCAGGATGGGCCAGGGGGGGCATCTTGACCCCTTGGGCCCGGACCAACTCGCATTGCAACGAAAAAAACAAAACGCGGGAGGTGTTTGCTTGCTTGCGGCCTCGTGGGGGGGGGGGTCTCTCGCCAGGTCCTGGGACCGTCAGGAAACGGCTCGGGATGAAAAGCCGGGTCCCAGGAGAGGGCCCTGACATCCGAGATTCCACGCAGCGCCACGCTGCGGAGCAAAAGGCAGCAGCCGAGGCAAGAGCACGAAAGCAGCGAGCAGCTGCGCCGGAGGTCGAGGCCCCTTCGCTGCCACGGCCCGCCGCAGGAGCTCATCGCCGGGGGAGCTCCGCCACCGCGGAAGCGGGAGGGGCCCAGCCCCAGCGATGCGCTGATGGCGCTCGGTGCTCGCATCAACGAGTCCGACATCCCCTCGGCGGGGCACTTCTGGGAGCTCCTGGCCGAGGTCGAGGCGCACGGCAGGACGTATTTCGAGAGCTACCCGCTGATCGTCGCGCAGATGAAGACCAAGGACCGCCGGGCGATCGATCGTTGAGGTAGCAGATAAGTGGAGCATTCATGATACAGAATATGGAAGATGCTGAATATGGTAAGAAGTCATGGCCATGGCGGATCCAAATTGCTGGGTGGAAGCGCTACTGCTCATCAGATTTTGTCATTCAGAAACCGAGGGGCGAGGAATGAGTACAGTCGGCCCTGATTAGTAGGTCGACCCTGCCAGGTCAAGGGTACCCTTGTGTCCTGCGTCTCGCGACCCATGCCTCCTGCATTCCTATGGCAGTGCGCCCCTCGGAAAGGGTCTCTCGCGTGTCCTCTCCAATCAAGTCCAACTGTAGCACAACCTGGTCCGTCTGTGCGTCATCGCCTGGTCTTCAACTCTGCCGCGTTTTGACGATCCCACCACCTTGGCATCGCGGCCCCTGCATTGATCAAGGAAGGACCCCCCCCCGTTCGCAACATCCGTCCGCGTCGAGAGTTACCCGCGGTGTGGCCTTCTGCCCGCATACGAGCAGGAGGGAGAGGCTTTCAGCGTCCTTCCCGTGTGGACACCGCGGGACACACGAGGAGGAGGAGGAGGAGGAGGAGGAGGAGGAGGAGGAGGAGGAGAAGGAGGGAGGAGGAAGAGGACGAGGAGGAGGAGGAGGAGGAGGAGGGTGGGGAGGAGGAGGAGGAGGAGGAGGAGGAGGAGGAAGAGGACGAGGAGGAGGAGGAGGAGGAGGAGGAGGAGGAGGAGGAGGAGGACGCTCTCATTCCATTCCCCCCTCGCTGGACTCCATTCCCGTGTGAACACCGCGGCAAGGCCAGGGTCATCCACGCCGCCACCCTCCAGGTCCAGCTGTGCGAGTTCCGCCAGTTCGAGAGCTTCTTGCGGCAGGCTGCCGGGAAGCGGGCGCGGGCGGACGGTGGCCAGGACGGGGCCAGGGGATTCCTCTCCTGCAGGGATGGAGCCAGCGGGGGGGGCCTGGGGGGAGTCGACTACACGTAAGAGCGACCTTTCGCCAGAGTGACCTTCGGTGCGGTCCCATTGTGGTCCCCCGATCCCCAAGCGCAATGCGGTAGTAGCGTCTTGCGCGCTCGTGTTTGGTCCCCCCGCAGCCCCAAGAAAGCCGCGCACCAAAGGTCACTCCTACCCAGGGTCACTCTTGCGTGCAGCCGAGGGAAAGAGGAGAGCCAGCATGAAGGAGAGGGGTCGATGCCAAGCCTCGCCCTGCTCTGGGCCCTCATGTCAAAGAACAAGGAAAGGCGTAGACACAAACTTTTTGCACTCATCGCGGATTTCTTGGATCTGCGCCGGGGCCCCCTGGCGGCGCCTCCGGCGCCGCCCCTGGCGCGCTCCGCGCGCTAGGGAGGGGACTCCAGCGCGGATCCAAGAAATCCGTTCGGAGCGCCAAAAGTTTATGTTTATGCCGTTGCTCTCTTTTCTCTATCATGGCGACTTTGAAGCTCAGCCTAGTCTTCATCACTGCTCCCTGTTAGTAAACACCCCCTCCCCCACCCGACCGGCAGCAGCCCTGATCCACGAGGGCACCCATGACACACACACACACACACACACACACACCATCCTTTTCAAAAAACAATACACTACAGGTCGCCTCCAAATCTGGAGCTTGCGCGGGCGCCCCGCAACTATTTTGCATTGTTTTTTTTTATAGGGACGACAGGGGTGGCTGCATTTTGCTTGCTGCGCGTATGCCAAAACACCCCCGCCACCATCCTCTGCAGAAAACAACACAAAGTGCACTTTGCACCAAGATCTGAATCATGCGCGGACGCCCCGCGATCACGTTGCATCGGTTTTTTGAGAGGGACGGCAAGGGGGGCAGCATATCGCTTGCTGTGTGCAATGCCAACCCCCCCAAAATTCCCTTGAAAATTAGCTTGGCGAAGGACCCAACCACATACAGCTGCTAGTAACGTAGGAGATCACCTTCTCATCATAGGCAGCCCACCGCGAGAGGGATGGAGCACGGGGCAACGCAGATGGGAACCCCGAAACGTGTGCGGGGTGTGCCGAAGTGGGCTGGGAGACGCATGCGGGCGCTGCCACTGGGCCCTTCGGCGGAGCTCCCTTTGGGCCAGAAACATGTGAGGGGTGTGTCAAGATACGAACCCTGCCACTGGGGCCTTCGGTGGAGCTCTATATATGGGTCCGCGAGGCGTGTGAGGGGTGTGCCGAAATGGAGGCGACGCCGCCATGCGAGCCCTGCCGCTGAGGCTTCCAGCGGAGCTCCCCATGAGGCCACGAAACGTGCGGGGTGTGTGTGCCGAAATGAGGCGGGGCCGCCATGCGAACTCTGCCACTGGGGCCTTCGGTGGAGTCCCCCATGGGGCAACGAAACGTTTGACGGTTGTGCCGAAATGGTGGCGGGGCCGCCATGCGAACTCTGCCACTGGAGCCGTCGGTTGAGCTCCCTGCGGGTCCACGAAACGTGTGAGGGGTGTGCCGAAATGGGGCAGGGCCGCCATGCGAACCCTGCCACTGGGGCCTTCGGTGGAGCTCCCTACGGGGCCACGAAACGCGTGAAGGCTGTGCCGAAATGGGGCAGGGCCGCCATGGGATGCAATTGGGGCCTTCGGTGGAGCTCCTTGTGGGGCCACGAAGCGTGTGAGGGGTGTGCCGAAATGAGGCGGGGCCGCCATGCGAACCCTTCCACTGGGGCCTTCGGCGGAGCTCCCTATGGGACCACGAAACGTATGACGGGTGTGCCGAAATGGGGCGGGGCCGCAATGCGAACCCTTCCACTGGGGCCTTCGGTGGAGCTCCTCATGGGGCAACGAAACGTTTGACAGATGTGCCGAAATGGGGCGGGGCTGCCATGCGAGTTTTGCCATTGGGGCCTTCGATGGAGCTCCTTGTGGGGCCACGACACGTGTGAGGGGTGTGCCGAAATGTGGCAGGGCCGCCATGCGAACTCTGCCACTGGAGCCTTCGGTGGAGCTCCCTGTAGGGCCACGAAACGTGTGAGGGTTGTGCCGAAATGGGGCGGGGCCGCCATGCGAACCTTGCCATTGGGGCGTGAGGGGTGTGCCAAAACAGAAACATGCGGAGGGCAGAGACACAGAGGCGGAGGAGGGGGTGGGGTAGGAGGATGAGGAAAGGAGGAAGGAAGGAACACGGGGCGCTGTCTCTTCAAAACGAGGACCCGACACCACAGGATGGTTGGGAAAAATACAAAGTGCATTTTGCACCAACATCCGGATCATGCGCGGAAGCCGCGCGCTCACATTGGATTTGCTGTTTGGCGAGGATGGAGGGGGTGCCTGCATATTGCCTGCCGTGTGCAGGCCCACCATCTTGCACAAAAGAGGAAAAAGCTAGCCACCGTGGACCCAAAACAATGTGTTTCAGGCAATACATATATAATGTGAACTTATATGTATGTGTGTATGTAGGTAGGTAGGTAGGTGAGTAGGTAGGTATGCGTGTGTTGTTGTCTATGTGGATCAATCTGCGTAGTGTAACACCGTGCCGAATTTGAAGTTGCAGTTGTCAACTCCACTGCTCCCGTAATCATCCAACCCACCCACCCGCAGCTTGGTTTACAAAACCGGCGATTGCGATGAGCGCTTGGTGTTGGTTGGTGCATCTCTGCGGCCGCGCTAGCCCGCGTACGCTCGCGCGCACAGCGGCCAGCAAGTTTGGTGTGACCGACGCGGCCGCGGTGGCGCTGACCGTTGGGAACTTCCCAGCGGGCAGTTCAGTGCGAGTTCACGCCGACAACGATGACGGCGTCCTCGCGTCGATGATGAGGGTTCCAGAAGGAGTTCAACATGCGCGCGCGGTCGACGCGCGAGAGTGGCCCGCACTGTATTGTTGCGCTGGCCCCCGGCCAGAGCCGACGATCCGGGGCGCTCCACGTAATGATGATGATGATGACGACGATGATGGTGGTGGTGGTGATGACGATTATGTTGGTGATGATCATGATGATGTCTATCATGGTAATGGCCACAGGGCCATCTTGGGCGTGTTGGACCGATCGTTCGGCGACTCGGGGTTTTCTTGGGCCGTTTTGAGGGCCTCTTGGGGCCCTGTTGGCCCGTCTTGGGCTTTTTTGGGGCTCGAAAAAGTCATACGGGAAAATTGCTGGGGGCCCAGAGGGCGCGCGGGGGAGCCTTAAGAGATTTGAGAGCTTGGGGTACGGGCCCATTAAGAATACTCAGGCTTGGGGACTGAGGTTCAGGGGATTGAGCAAGGGACTTGGGGAAGCCTCTTGGGGTCGTTTCGGGGCCTCTTGGGGTCTCTTTCGGGTTTCTTGGGGGCCTTGTGGGGCCTCATGATGGTTTCTTGGGGGCCTGTAGGCCCCCCCGCCCCCGAACGCTATATACGTCGGGAATGGCGTTCCACCCGCCCCTTCCATAGCCTCCTGGGGGTTCCTTGGGGGCCTGTGGGCCCTCCCGCCACCCCCGAGCACCAAATGCGTCGGAAATGGCGTCCCCCCCCTTGCAGAGCGAAGTTTGGGCGAGCTCAAGTCCACGTTTCCAGAAACTCACGCCAGATCGGCGGATTTGACACGGATCGTGCCCCCCAGCACGCGCGCAAGGGCGTTCGAACGATTTCGACATGCAGCGCGGGAGGCCCGTTTGGCCGAATTGAATGGCAATGTTGAAAGCTTACGGTTGAAATCTCACGGTTGCCTCAGGCACGTGGATGCCCATGGAAAGCCCCCACAGGGCATTGTAAGCCCTTGCCGACATCTACATACTTCTTGCGGCCCCTCGAGGTGAAACCATTTGGGGGTTTATAGAAACTTCTTGGAGAGCCCCAGGAAGTTCTTGGGAGCCTACTAGAGGCCCTTTGGA